AACGCCTTCTCCAAGTCTACAAAGCGCATGTAGACCTGTTGAGCAAACTCCCACGCACCCTCCAGGACCCTGCTGAGAGTGTACAGCTGGTCCAGTGTTCCACGACCAGGACGAAAACTGCAATGCTCCTCCTGAATCCGAGGTTCGACTATCTGACAGACCCTCCTCTCCAGAACCCTTGAATAGACCTTACCAGGGAAGCTTAAGAGTGTGACTGACTGAACATTGTTGGACTTCAAACATGACGCGCTAAATGTTTCCCTCACAGATGCATTTAATTTAAAACCATGTGTGTTCGTGAACACAAACAGCCTTGGGTTACTTGTTCTTTAGCTAACTTTGTGCTCCTGCTCCCACAGGCGAGGACTGAACCCCCCCCACAGAGTGAAGTCCATCTCTATGACCACATTCACACAGCAGGAAATAGAGTTCCTACAGAAGCACGGCAACGAGGTACAGGACACGTTACAGGACACGTTTTATGACCCGTGTTTTGGCAACCTCACTCGGATCGTCAAGCACTGTGATTTCCTTCTTTCAGATTTTTTTTTTTTTTTTTTTTACAAGCCTTCTTGTTGACATTCCTTTCTCCCTTCTTTATTTCTCCTCTTCCTTTTTTGTGCCCACCCCACCCCCTTCACTTTCTCACATGTCCACCCCCACCTCAATCCCCTCCCACCACTCCTCTCCCTCCTTCCCCACAGGTCTGTAAACACATCTGGTTGGGCCTCTATGACGACAGGACATCAGTTGTTCCAGATTTCCGAGAACCACAAAAAGTAAAAGAGTTCCTTCAGGAAAAATACGAAAAGAAAAGATGGTAATGTTAACTTGCTTATCTAAATTTAAGATTTAGGTCTATTTGAGCTTTTTTATTTTCCCTGTGGATAAATGTTTCAGAAATATTCTGATTGAATACAAAACTTGCACATGAGCAACTCCTGGGGTGTAAAAAATTCAGAGTGCTAGCAATTTAATATTTCCAGCATAACTTGGCAGTGTTGCTTTATTACCATCAGCCCTGATGTGAAAGAGAATAGTGCTGAAAGTATGCTGGTAAATTTCTTGGACAGAAACTTTCAACAATATGTCTGAGCTTGACGGCGCATACAACATTGTGTGTCTCCAAGCTGTTCATGAACCATTTTATTGTGGCTGCAGTGTTTGCTGTAAGAAGACAACTCTTAAAACACGAGAAGCAGAAATTTAACTAGGGAATTTATGAGTGAATTGTAAAGGGTGTCCGTGCAGCTTCTGCCCCAAACACCAACACCATCGACTTTCTCCTCTAAAGCCCTGTATTAATTTAGGACTTTTTTTGTGTGTGTGATAACCTGAGTTCATAAAATGTTGACTTTTTGATGTATAAACTCAGAAAAAGTCAAATAAAATAAACACATAATCGCTTATATTGAAAGACTACGACAGATCTTTAGGGCCACGCTAAGAAAAAAAAAATTAAAAGCCATAACATTACGAGAATAAAATCCTAGTTTTACGAGAATAAAGTCGAATAAAGTCTTAATATTACGAGATAGTCGTACGAGACTTTTTTTTTTTTCAGCTCTCGTGTATTTTTTCCCACGAGTCTGATCCTCAATGCGACCTGTCAATCAATCCAGTAGGCGTGTCAGCAAATGACCAATCTGAAGCTAAACGCTCCTTACCTGCAGAGAGCTGCTGCAGCCCATCAGAGCTACCACCTTACTGTACACAGGTTCAAAGTCCTGATGCTGATAATAATCTGATGCTGATGTGCTAACAGATTAACTATCTCCTTATTTGTTAAACCAATACCAAAGTATAACTTAACAAGATGCTCAACATTCTTCATTTTACCACAGTTAAAATGTGGTAAACTCTGCTTTATCGTGTCGGAGTTCAGATAATATTACGACTTATTAAGCTTCAGATTGGTCATTTGCTGACACGCCCACTAGATTGATTGACAGGTCGCGTTGTGGGTCCGACTAGTGGGGGGAAAAAAAGTCTCGTACGACTTTATTCTTGTAATATTAAGACTTTATTCAACTTTATTCTCATAATACTTGGACTTTATTCTCGTAATTTTATGGCTTAACATTTTTTTTTTTCTTGGCGTGGCCCTAAAGCTCCGTCATAAAAGACCCTTCCAGAGTTTAAGAGAAAATTCTGAGCTCTGATACAGTAGAAGTTGATGAGAGTTTGGCCGTGAGCACTCTTCAGTCAAGGGGGTGTTTAGGGAAAACTATAAAGGTGGGTTTATAATCAATGTGAAGTCTCTCGTGTCTCGTTAACGTGCATATTTTTCTGCTTTACCACCTGCTTATGCCCCATCTTGTGCATCGTCCCCGGTCAGTTTTCACCGAGTTATGCAGTGAACATTAAATATCAATTTAGTTCAGTTTGTGTATCACCAAGCCACAACAGAAGTCATCTCAGGGCACTGAACAGAAACATTCATATATAAAATAATCATTTAACATTATTTATCTGAAGAGCAGACTGCTTTGAATTTAACTCCATCACAGACTCTCATCTTGGGCGAGCGTGAAGCGGCTGCATTATGCTGATCTCAAAGAGCAGCGTCTGCAGAGGAGCTGCTGGTCGTGGTTGTTAGAAAATACAGCCAGCATTACAACTGTTCCAGCAGAAATGATAAAGATAACAAATAAAACTTAAGATACTCAAAGGACTTGTGGAAGGAGACTGGACTTTTTCTTTTTTTGCATGCAGAAGAGAGCACGGAGAAACGAGCGGCTCTCCGTGGCTGTGCTGAACGAGAAAGATTGTGCCTCGACCAGGCAGGGTAGGGGCACGCTCCTGCACTGTCTGATGGAAACAGTCGGTGTCTTAGTGATAAATTTACTAAATGGCACTTCTCCTTGGTTAACAGCAAAAATATGTGATCATAGTCCTCCAACTCCTCCGTCATCAACTGAAAATAAGCATCCACCCTGCCAACCCGTCTGCGCTGATTGCACGGGACGTGTGCTGCAGAGGGAGGACTTATCAGGATTTCTCCCCCGCGGGTTCTTTTGAGTATGAAATGCCCGTGAGAAGAAGGCCGTCTACAGTAATGTCATGGGGAAGCGATGTTTTCCACCTTGTTGAAGTATAAACAGGCCTCAAGTTCTGTAGCAGTGAGACGCTTGAAGTAAAAGAAGACCAAACGTGTCTTAACATTAAAACTTGACCAAAGCGTTCTGATGCGTTGGCTATAAAGATGATAAAAAAACAAGTTTTGTTTGCAAACACTTAAGTCTAGACAGCTCACAAGTTAGTTTGTGGCGTAATCACACTAAGTTGAACACTTTGTTTTAAAATCTCCAAAAAATTAAGATTTAAGCTGTGACTGAGTAAAAACGGTAAATATATCAAAATTCCTGTTCAGACGTGTAAAGTCCGATGTTGTGACTCGTTTCAACTCTTACTGCTGCCATGAAGTATGCCCGAGGTACAGGGCTACACAGAGGGCTGCGTTTCCTCACTCATCCTAACTAAATCCAATTGTTGTGCATGCAGAAGTTCTTCTTGTTTTGTTTGTTTGTTCTGTGAGTTTGTGCGCACCATACAATACAACGCACTCTACCTGATCCAGTTGCACGCTTGGATGTATTTATTCAGATTATTATTTTAAGCTGAAGGAGTAGTTGTGACTCGCATATTGTGATGAAAAGAGTCAATTTACAGCCAGGTTGTAATAAAGGTGCTTTGATGCTTATATGTTGGCTCTTTTCTTACACTGAACCGATAAGTGTATCTTACTAATTTGTGGAAAAAAACATTTTAAAAGCTGAAGGCAGTCTTTGTTTTGCACCTGGACAACTGTGAAACAGTAAATGGCTTCAATCATATCACGTACCTGAAAATGTCTCATTTGTGTTGGTGCTCCTTCCTGAATATCCAGGTATGTTCCTCCAGACCAGGCGAGGTCAGTAGTGAGTGTTCAGGCCTCCGTCTCTGGTTCCTCAGCAAGCAGCACGGGCAGCACCCCAGAAGTCCAACCTCTGAAAACCCTCCAGCTCAATAAAACACCACTGCGCCAGGTAGAGACACACACAGACCTTCACGCTCCAGAAGAGTTCCTATTTTTCTATTTGCTTAAAAAGTTGTAGAAAGCATCTGTCTGTCTGCTCCCCGTCAGTCTCCAGGTGTGGGCCGCTCCCAGGCTCACAGTGCTGCTCACGAGAAGAAGTTTGACTTGCTGTCAGACCTGGGGGGAGACATTTTTGCTGCTCCACCAACTCAAACTGCCACCTCTTCCAACTTTGCCAATTTTGCACATTTTCCAAGCCAGTCAGGTAAATCTAATATTTTACTGAGATCACTATGATGTCACTTCTTTTGTCCCACCCCCCCACATCATCACTATTCATTTCCCTTCCATTGCATTTTGAATTTCAACATTCCCTTTGTTTTTTCCCTGCTGCTCTTCTGCAGCTCCTCAGGGTAATTCTAATTCCAACTTTGCCAACTTTGAAGCTTTTGGAAACACTTCAGTTCCGTCCCATGTGAGCACGTCACCTCCCTCAAAGTCTTTTTCATCAGGTACCACGGTCCCCCCACCATCTTCATCCATCTTACCCACGCATACTCACCTGAGACCTAAAGTTTTATTCGTTTTCTAACACGTGTGCTCATGGGACACGCCTTCTTTGTGCTTTGGGATGTTGGACAAAGGTTCTCAGCACTTTCCTGAGTAAGACTGTTGAAGTTAAAAAGTGCTGCCACTTCAGGGAGATCTTCGGGGAGGAATGAGCAATATTGACATTTTTTGTACTCTTTCAAAAAAAAAAAAAAACACCATAAAAATTACTGAAATAACTTGAAACTGACAAAGGAATAAAATGTTTTTTTAAATTAAAATTTTTAAAAAAAAATTTGTTTTGAATCTTGGTTCAACAAAAATATTTTGCAAAAACTTGGATGTTGTATCTCTTTTTGGGTCATTATCCTGTTGGAGGACCATGACCAGCAGTCGAACCAAGCTGTCCAACACTGGGCAGCACGTTTCACTCCACAAGGC